CAAATCTGTGGTAAATGAGTAAATTAACAACTGAATATTGTGAAAAAACATAAAATTTATATTTTTCTGATAATATTAGGGGATTTTCGGTTTCTTATCCAGGCAAAACAGAGCCTAGATACACTAGAGTCCTGGCTCATGAAAATAAAAGGACTGAGAGTTGGGAAACATGCATCAGTTAGTGCAGAGATGTTCACCACCAACCAACCAGAATTATTTGAAAGAGACAAGCAAGGCTGAAAGATAGAGGAGAGGGTATAAAAACACACTAAGGTGCTCACCAGGACAAGGATGCTTTTGGTAGCTCTGGTGTAGGGGATTTTTGTAAATTTTTCTAGTTTAAGAATTAAATTTAGTGATTAATGTACGTGTTCTGCCCAGAGCGTTTAAAAGCAATGTGCTCCAGACAAGGTCTGTTGCTTAGAGGCATAACAAAGGAAGTGAGCAGCAAGTAAGCAAGAGCTGCCCAGCCCCACGGCAATGGGGGGTTTGGAGGCCACACAATAAACACATTGTTCCTGTGATTGCTGCTCAAACCCCATAAGATGGCTGGTTAGTCAAGGACGGGTAAGACTCCACAAGAAGAGGGGAGACCTAAGCCATGCACAGCTGCCAGGGGTCAGCCTACAACCTTAGGGGTTCACCCTAAGAGAAGCTGGGGATGAGAAATGCCCCCTGTGGCTTGCCTTGCCCATCCTTGCTAATCTCTGTCTGTGATCTATGCCTAGCCCCTGGAGCAACCACCTGGAAATTCTGAGCCAGAGGCTATCTGCTTCCCTAAGGCTATGCATTCTGGAATTTATGGCCATTGTTGAAATGCCTGGGTGGGCACGTATAAAGAACTAACTTTGATTTTTGGGGTATAAAAATAAAACAACTGGTGCGTTCCGCACTGCAGTCTTGTAACCGTCTTTGTGTGTGTCTGTGTGTCTTTTTCTGTTCTGTGTCCATCTTCTGTCCTGCAAACGGGCCACGACACTCTGGATTCAGGGGAGGATCTGGGAAAAACATTAGTCTTCCGAATGTGTCGCACCTGCTGCTTGTGCCTGTGCAGGATGAAAACCATGGAGCTGCTGGCCCAGATCATGAGTCCCAGACACAAAACGTCTGTGAATAGTAATAACGTTGAATATAGTGAGTCTATAATTGTGTCATTAACTATACTATAATAGTAACCATGGCCTTTCTTCTTGGTAATGTTTCTGTTGATCCATTTGCCAACACCGTAAAGAGGAAAAACGGTATTTATCAGCATGTTCAGGATCCAGCACAGGATGGTGAGTAAGCCTATGCATTTGAGAGTGTTCACTTTAAGCTCTGCCCACCAGGAGTCCCAGGGGATCATGATGATGGCCTGAAAGACACTCAACAGACAGGTGGTGCCAATGGACACACCCCTGCCCAGTCTTTGAACATAGAAAAGAAGTTTGCATCCAAAATCACTGGAAAGATGTTTCAAGCCCAAAGCTGCCATTTGTCTGTGGGAGTCCCCTAGAGAGGAGACATGAGGAGTTGGCTACCATCAGATGCTTCAGAAGCAAACCTGTGGGCCTTAATATGCACCCAGACAAGGAAAGGGAGAAATGATGATAAATAAGAGAGAAGTTCCCCAGGATCCCAGTACACTCTGTGATAAGAAGACTGTTCCTATGGCCAAATCTCTGGAGGCCATTCCATCAGTTTTCAATGACTGATATTTGTCTTCAGAGCCAGAAGATCCTTCATGGATTTAGCATGCAAAAGCTACATTTATCATGTGAACTGAAATCCAATAGTATCTGCATACTATCAGTTCCTTCTTAGATATGTTCCAAATTTTTCTTTTTAAGTGTTATTAAGAGATTTCCAAGAGTTGAAAATACAACCTTTAGAGGAAATTTACAAAGTATACATCACTGCTATAAAGAGTGTACATAAGATAACTTTTTTTTTCTTCAAAATCTCAGCCGGGTGTGGTGGCCCAGGGCTATAATCCTAGCACTCTGGGAGGCCGAGGCAGGTGGATCATTTGCGCTCAGGAGTTCGAGACCAGCCTGAGCAAGAGCAAGACCCTGTCTCTGCCAAAAATATAAAAAATTAGCTGGGCATGGTGGCATATGCCTGTAGTCCCAGCTACTCGGGAGGCTGAGGCAGAAGGATCGCTTGAGCCCAGGAGTTTGAGGTTGCTGTGAGCTAGGCTGACTCCACAGCACTCTAGCCCAGGCAACAGAGTGAGACTCTGTCTCATAAATAAATAAATAAATAAATAAATAATAAAAAATATATGAGGCACACAGTACATACTACTATTAGGAGAGCAATAGAAAGATGCATATGTTTTTATGCCATAAGCAAAAGTACACCTATCACAGGAACTACTAAACAATAGGAGCTCATGCCCTAAATTATAGGACATAAAACAAGACTTCATAATAAAATAGTATATGGTAGAAATTATCATTCAATTCAAATCATATACTTACACACTTAGTAACTGAGTTAAGTGAAATTATGAGCGATGAAGCAACAATTGTGAAAGATATTAAAATATAAGAAACACATATCTACAAAATTGGATCTTCAAGGTGCATAGCTTGTACATTTTATGAATTGAAATAGATATCTTAAAATTAATATTAGGGCTGGGAATGTTGGCCGGTGCCTGTAATCCTAGCACTTTCGGAGGCCAAGGCAGGACGATTGCTTGAGCCCAGGAGTTCAAGATCAGCTTGAGCAAGAGCAAGACCCCATCTCTATAAAAAAAAATACAAAAATTAGCCAGGTGCCTGTTGTCTCCGCTACTCAGGAGGCTGAGGTGGGAGGATTGCTTGAGCCCTGGCGTTTGAGGTTGCCGTGAGCTATGATGATGCCACTGCACTCTAGGTGACAGAGTGAGACCTTGGCTCAAAGAATAATAATATTAAAATATTTTAAACAAGTAGAGAAAATATCACAAGATACATTTCCTGCTGACCACTGCTGTCTGAAACACATAGTTATCTTTTTCTGAAATGCTGTTTGCGTAACTCCAAGAGGAAAATAGACCATAATCAACCACCAGAGATGTTTTCAATAGAGACACAATTACTGTCTCTATTCATCGCATCATACAACCAAAGTTAAAGGAAACATTTCTATCTAAGTAACTGCCATTTGGACACACTGCACAGGATTGTGATACCCATGTATACTCCTTCTACAAGTACCATTCATGACAAGCATGACAGTTACAGGTATACATCTGGTAAACCTACACATTTAGTCTGTGATTCCTGTAGAGTGGGCTGAACAGCAGATGGATCTCAGGACTACTGTCTTTAAGCACATGAAAGATCAGGTTTCACGGTCACTTGGATCAAGCACCAACAATCACTGTCATTGTGGGCCACACTAAATTACATTAGGAATCATCAGAGATTTGTGTAGGATGTCGGACCCCACCTCTCTTTACTAGTCTCTCTTTATTAGCTCATGCCAACATAATTAGTAAAGTGGGAAGAGGAACAGACAAAGTCGGGCTATGCTTGGGGCTATGTCTAGGGGTCTCTTACCTTAGCCATGTCTTTGATTTACTCAAATATTGATATAGATTCATCTCTAGGTGATAGAAAAACAGAAAGAGAAGCTCCAGCTCACTCCGAAAGTATAACATGAAATCAGTACTCCATAGAGTCCAGCTTAAGCTCAGCCTTGGGTTACTAAGTCTCCTCAGGCAAAAGTGATAGTTCTCCAACGTCTGAAGCAACTGTGACCCTGGACAGCTGGGCACTGAGTGCACACTCCGCACGAGAATCTCACACCTACATCATAGAGTGATGGAACAGTCCCACAGGATTCTTAAGGGTGCTGTGGCAACCAAACTAAGAAGATGAACCCACAGTCCCTGCCATACCATTTGCTTAACTGATACGAACACAGTCCTGGCCCAACATGATTTCCAGACTCTCCTCTGGGCCTCGCAGGGGTGATTCAGAAAGACAGAGGTTATTAATGCCCCTCCATTACCCATAGCTCCTGGAATCTAAGCTGATTCCTCCCCAGGTTTCAGGATGTCCCTCTCCCTCTACAGAATCAGTCCCGTTCTCATACTATAATCTCACCTTCTTTTTTTTTTTTTTTTTTTTTTGAGACAGAGTCTCACTCTGTTGCCCGGGCTAGAGTGCCATGGCATCAGCCTAGCTCACAGCAACCTCAATCTCCTGGGCTCAAGCGATCCCCCTGATATGGAAAATGTCAGGCGCCTGGACATGGCCTCTTGCCACCTCCCCATCGCTCCGCATCTCTGCGGGCCAGTGCTGTGCGTGGCCAGTTGGAGGGCACGCTTCTGAGGCCAGGCCCCGTGGCAGAGAGCCACCCGGCCCGCATGCCATCCGTGCCACTGCCTGTTTCCAGCCATGCTGCTTGTGTGATCCTGATTGGGTAATTTTTGAATCCCACTGTTTTTGATTGGATGTTAAAGCTTGTTGTTGATTGGATGTTAAAGCTTGTAGTTGATTGGACGCTTTTTGAGCCCTACCAAGGGTATAAAAGCAGGAGGAGCACAAGGAAGAGGGTCAGAAGATCGGAAGACAGGAAGAGAGCTGTAACACTAGGTGTGCTGAGCCTGGTGGGAAGGAATAAAGGCTATTCTCTGATTCTTCATGTGCCGCTCCGTTCTTTCCCCAGTCAGGAGCTGTAACGCTAGCTGTACACTTGCTGCAACACTCCTGCCTCAGCCTCTCAAGTAGCTGGGACTACAGGCATGCACCACCATGCCCAGCTAACTTTTTCTATATATATATTTTAGCTGTCCAATTAACTTCTCTCTATTTTTTGGTAGAGACGGGGTCTCGCTCTTGCTCAGGCTGGTCTCGAACTCCTGAGCTCAAACGATCCGCCCGCCTCAGCCTCCCTGAGTGCTAGGATTATAGGCGTGAGCCACCACGCCCACCCATAATTTCACCTTATTCTTGCCATTCCCTACTTTCCCATAGACATTTTATCCATAACAGCCAGGTGAAAGAGGGACATTTAAAACTTACCCAGAACTAAGTCTGAATCCCATAAACTCGCTTTTGGCAGGGCTGCCACTCAGATGGTCAGTATATACAAATCAGGCTGGCCGGGGGTTGCTGTTAGGAAAAAGACAGACACACCTTGCCCAGTAATGGTCAGAGTGAAAAATCTCAAATTTAGGAAATAGATTCACATAGTTCCCAACCATTTCATTCTTATCCTAGAGGCAGTCAAAAAGAGATAAGCCCTTTTGGGGACAGCCTCATTCAATCAACAAATTACTTAACCAAAATGTGTGGATCAAAATGACTACAAATGGGACACCTGCACTCGAATGTTTATAGCAGCACAATTCACAATCACAAAGGTGTGGAAACAACCCAAGTGCCCATCAATACATGAGTAGATTAATAAAATGTGGTATATGTATACCATGGAGTACTACTCAGCTTTAAGAAACAATGGTGATATAGCACATCTTATATTTTCCTGGATAGAGCTGGAACCCATTCTACTAAGTGAAGTATCTCAAGAATGGAAAAACAAGCACCACATGTACTCACCAGCAAATTGGCATTAACGGATCAACACCTAAGTGGACATATAGGAGTAACATTTATTGGGTGTCAGGCGGGTGGAGGGGGAGGAGGGAATGGGTATATACAACCACAATGAGTGAGATGTGCAGCGTTTGGGGGATGATCATGCCAAAAGCTCTGACTCGAGGGGGAGGGGGAAGGGGAATAAGGGCAATATACGTAACCTTAACATTTGTACCCCCATAATATGCTGAAATAATAAAATAAATAAAATAAAAACACAAAATGTGTGGATCAGGAGGAGGAAAAGGAAATGAAATCAGACAGCCTATTTTTAATAGATTTAGTGATGAAAGACACAGCATGTCAGAGTCCATGACTTTTTCCCAAAAGTCTTAAAGGTAACATGAATTATTAATAGTTTCAAGGGACACAGCGTTTGGCTAGAGTCAGCTGATGTTACAGTGATTATGCACATACATATATACACATACAATATACATACACACTGATATTTATACAAACGTGTGTGTATCACCACTTCCTTATAGTGTGACTATTTCTTAACAGTGTTTTCAGGTCTATGGAGATAAGTGAATGAACTGAATGTTGTACAAATACATACGATTCACATATTTCTGATAATATTAGGGGATTTTTTTTTTTTTTGAGACAGAGTCTCACTCTGCTGCCCAGGCTAGAGTGCTGTGGTGTCGGCCTAGCTCACAGCAACCTCAAACTCCTGGGCTCAAGCGATCCTCCTGCCTCAGCCTCCCAAGTAGCTGGGATTACAGGCATGCGCCACCATGCCTGGCTAATTTTTTTGTACGTATTTTTAGTTGTCCAGCTAATTTCTTTCTATTTTTAGTAGAGATGGGGTCTCGCTCTTGCTCAGGCTGGTCTCGAACTCCTGAGCTCAAACAATCCACCCACCTTGGCCTCCCAGAGTCGCCCAGCCAGAATTTTTTTATTATTTATCCAGGCAATGCAAAGCCTGGACACATTGGAGTCCCCGCTCATGAGAACAAAGGGGCTGACAGTTGGGAAACATGCATTGATTATTGCAGAGATGTTCACTATCAATTGACTGGGATTATTAAAAAGTGCCAAACACACTTGTAACATAACAGAGAGAGCATAAAAAGATACAAAGGTGCTCACCAGAAGAAGGATGGTTTTTGTAGCTCTGGACTCAGGGGAGGATCTGAGGGAGACATTAGTCCTGTGGATGTGTTGGACACGCTGCTTGTGCCTGTGCAGGATGAAAACCATGGAGCTGCTGGCCCAGGTCATAATCCCCAAACATAAAACATCAGAGTATGATAACAAGGCAACATATAGTGACTCTCTGGCTTTGTCATGGTGAACAGCAGAACAATATCCAAAATCTTTTGTCTTTGTGATATTTTTTGTGTTCCACTTGCCAGTCATATACATAAGAAAAATGATATTTACCAGAATGTGGAGAATCCAACATAGCAATATGGAGGTACCAATATACTTGGGAGCTTTCCATTTAAGCTCTGCCCACCACCTGGAGTTCGTAGGGCTGATTGTGATGGCCTGGATGACACTCAAGAGGCAGGTGTTGCCAGTGGACACACCCCTGCCCACTCTGTGAAGATAGAAAACAAGTTTGCATCCAAAGTCATTGAGGACATGTCTAAACCCTAAAGCGTGCATTGTCTGAGGAACTCCTCTAAAGAGGAGAAATAAGGAGTTGCCTACAACCAGGTGTATGAGAATCAAATCTGTGGACCTTAATCTGTACCCAGTGCAGTAAAGGAAGAGAAGATGGTAAAGAAGGGAGAAGTTCCCCAGGATTCCAAGTGCAGTCTGTGATAAGAAGGTCATTACTGTAGACAAATCTAAGGCAGCCATTCTGTCGGTTCCCACAGACCAATATTCATCTTCAGAGCCAGAGGATCCTGCATAGGAATATGAGGCATGGGCTACATTTACAATGTCCACTGAAATCCGATTTCTCCATTTGGAAATATTTCCTTAAAGTTTTTTCCTATTATTAAGAGTTTGCCGATACGTGAATGCATACTCTTTAAAGTGTACTTGCAACGTATTAATCCTTGCTGTGAAGAACAGACATGCGGTAACTTCTTTATTCCCCCTGAATCTGTGAGACAGGCACTACCATTATAAAGATAAGGAGGACTTAAGCACAGAGAGGTTATGTATGTGATTTGTCTAAATTTACACACTGGTTGGGGTAGATGGGAACTTGATGTTGTCTGGGATCATTTCAAAGAGTGTGTTTTAACACCATGTTCTACAATCAAAGCAAGTTAGCTGAGTTCTTCCAATAATTCAGATATATAATTTTTATTTTATGCCTTGTCTTTATATTTTACATCAGTGATATTTAGTTTTATAATTTTGTTTCAAATTTCAATTGGTAGTATAAAAAATTACCCCATAGGCCAATGTCAATTATGAATGAACTTTTAAAGGTCTTGATAAAATTAGATGCACTGATTGTAGTATAATAATACAGAAATATGCCCCATGGTTTAGTTGGATTTAATGAATACAAGATTAGCCAGCCCATGTGAAAGTGAGACTCCATATTTACAAAAAATAAAGAGAACTTTACCTGGCTTGGTGGCTTGTACCTATAGTCCCAGCTACTTGGGAGGCTGAGGCAGGAGGATCATTTGAGTCAGAAGTTTGAGATTATAATGAGCTATGATCACACCACTGCACTCTAACCTGGACAACAAAGAGAGACCCTGTCTCAAAAAAAAAAAAAAATTAGTCCCCATTTCAGGATAGCCACAGAGAGACTCATTTTCTTTTAGGCCAGGAACAAAAGTACACTGCCACCTACTATAGGAATTATTGAACAATCTGATATCATGAACTAATTATGGGACATGGAACACTAGTGTATGATCAAATAGAGTAAGGTGGAAACTTAATTATTACTATTTTCAGTTCACATACTCATTGATTAATATATAAGTAAAACAATTAGCATTGTGATGAGATTGTGAAAGATATTAACATAGGACACATATGGAAAATTAAGTCTGTAAGATGTGGAATCTTATGCATTTTATAAATTGAAATGGTAGATTTGGGGATAGTAGATTTGTTTATTTATCTATTTTTAATTGACCAATAATAATTATATATATTTATGAGACACAATGTAATGTTTTGATCTATTGTAGAAATAGTCAAGCTAACTATCATATCCATCATATCCATATGATGGACCCATATCATATCCATAAACATATCCATAGTTTAAACCAGAGAAAATCATCACAAGGTAATTCAATACTGGCAACTGCTATCTGAAACTGATTATAAGGTTACCTGTTCCTTAAATGTTGCTTAACTTCATGACTGAAAACAGGCTCAGCATAAGCAACAGATCACTTATGTTTTCAGTAGAGACACAATTACTGTCTCCATTTAGCACTTCATACATGACTGTTTCAGAAAACATTTCTATTTCAGCAATCGTCATTTGGATACACTGTTTCTGCATAGGATTAGATAATTCTTATAGATTTATCCAACTCTTTATTATAAGCATGGAACTGATTGATATAGGTGCACCTCTCATTATCCTTAAAATTTTATCTATAATTTGTATAAAGTAGACTGAACAAGACATAGATTTTAGAATTATAGTCTTCGAGCACCTTAAAACTGAAGTTTCATTATCGTGTAAACACCAAAAGTCATCATCATCGATGATTATAAGAGTGGTGTAGGGTCGACAACCTCCAACACTCTATACCAGCTCAGCTCAGGATGTAGGATTATCACTCCCTCCTGTGCGCCTGTGGCACTGTGCCAGTTTTAGACCCATAAGGGTCCCCTTTTTATATATAATCACCTACCCGGACTCCTGACATATGTCCTTTCCTTACAGACACTACCTGTTAAACTGAAATATAAAATACTCACCTAACTTTATGCTTCTGTCTGGGTGAGGGGGGCGGGGCTCAGTGCAGTGGCCACGCCAGTCAGTATTATGTGGGAAGGAGGCAGCCAGACCTCAAGATATAGATTTATGGTGTCATGACCTCACCTTCTCTCAGAACTGCAATTATCATTTTACCTGTCACCGCAATGACAGTGCAGTCCCAAGATGTTGAGAATATATTTTTAAAACTCTTTTTCCCTTGTTGTAATTACAAAAAAAATAATTTACTAGCTCCTAGCTAGCATCTCCATAGAGACTTTGGTGTGTTTAGGGAGGCTCTTTTTTTTCCCTTGATCTTTGGAGGCTGACAGGGTCTCACGTGGAAGAAAACAGGAGATACTGTGGTCTGACATATGTCTCAGTGGAGTCTCTGCATACCAGAGAAGTCTTTCTACCCAAAACAAAGTTCTTTTTTTTTTTGAGACAGAGTCTCGCTTTGTTGCCCAGGCTAGAGTGAGTGCCGTGCGTCAGCCTAGCTCCAGCAACCCAAACTCCTGGGCTCAAGCATCTTCTGCCTCAGCTCCCAGTAGCTGGGACTACAGGCATGCGCCACCATGCCGCGGCTAATTTTTCTATATATTATTAGTTGACCAATTAATTTCTTTCTATTTATAGTAGAGACAGGGTCTCGCTCTTGCTCAGGCTGGTTTCAAACTCCTGACCTCGAGCAATCCGCCCGCCTCGGCCTCCCAAGAGAGCTAGGATTACAGCGTGAGCCACCGTGCCTGGCCAAAACAAAGTTCTTTATAATCTTCAGACCTCTGAGCTGCACATGATTTTTAAGTCAAGTGCAGAGAAATGGAATTAGACAAAATATCTAAGAAGGATTTTCAAAGGGGTGAAAGGAAGAATATGATGCCAGTAGTTTATATTATAAATCATTATTTCATGAGCACAACTCAACACCAAATAATATGGAAAATTTGGAGAAAAATATAGTTTACTAATATTAAAATATATAGTACTATATAACTATATTACTATAATATGTATTATATAAATATATAAAATATAGCATGACCAACATAGTTTAGCAATATGCCAATTTCTCTTAACAGAAATATCCCAAGTGGTAAAAGTTTTCTAGCTAAATTGACAATGAAATGTTTTTTCATTGCAAAAAAATTCACTGGTCTTACAATGTCACAGCCAGTTCTCCCTCCAACTCCTGGTGCTATTCCTGTGTTTATGTCATTGTATGTTGCATGCCATAAGAGACTTTATGTATGTAGTTAAGGTTACTAGTTATTTGATCTTAAACTAGGGAGATTATCCCGGATTATCCGAGTGGGACCAATGTGTCCTTGAAACTGAGAAATAAGTCAGAGAGATGTGACAGAAGAGTAAGTTAGGGCTTAGAAACAGGAGGGTGATTTCACACGCTGTAGCTGACGATGACTATGTGGGAACCATGAGAAGGAAATGAATTCTGACAACAACCTGAATGACCTTAGACGTGGCTTCTCCCCCAGAGACACAAGAATACAGCCCATACCTCCCATCTTGATTTTGGCCTTGTGCACCCACCAAAGCCTGACAGATTTCTCCTCTGTGAACTGTGAGAAAATAAATGGGTGCTGTGCTAAACAGCTGGTTAGACTGTAGTAATTTATACACATCTGAACAAATTTAATGACATAATATTTAGGTAAAATTTTAAATACCCATTAGTTGCCCCATGACCAACAGTAGATTGATATCCAGACATAACTTTTATCAGTTTTAAGTGTATCCTTCTGCATTTACAATTTCATATATATCTAAAATTACATCTGAAATTGCATAAAAATATATGTATATACACTCCCCATGAAGAAATTTTGCTCTTGTTTCAGTATTTAAATACATATTTGCAGAGTTAGATTACTATGCAATTAAATAGCTTTCCTTAATTAGTGATGTTTTCATACCAGTTAAACAGATCTATGCATTCCTCGAAATGCCACATAATATTCCATCATGATTATGAATAAGCCATCTTCACTGAAACACTCCCTGTTTACACACTAACAGAGCTGAATGTGTCCATCTGTCCCCTGCTATCACACATGTCATGGTATGTGAATCACACTGATTAAGCACATATGGGTTATCTGAGTGGTCCTTATATTTAGTATCATTGTACCATTGTGAGTGTATATTTTCCCTGCAGGCATGAACCAGTTAACAGATCTTGCAAATATTTGTAAGATGTCATATGTCAACAATTGTGTACCCATATACCTCCAGTCCCCATTTCCACCTCCCTCTCTTCCATCTCTATTTAGAAAACATAACATACAAGACTTTTTTTATGATCAATAATAAGGAAACAGAAGACATTCTAAATTCTCCTGGGTCAGATAGGCCAAATAATACCCAAGTAGCAGGGAATTAGGAGGATCGATTCACTTAATGGGTGTAGATCCAAGCACAGTGCCCTGCAAATAGTGCACCCTAACATATGTGTGAGCACATAGTAGAGGCTCAGTAAGCACAGCTTCAACAAATGAATGCATTCTATTTCCCCAACATAGCCTAGATCAAACAGTACTGCTTTCTCTGGACTCCTCTCATCTGGCAAAAGGCCAGAAAATATTATGATTTTCAGGGAATTCTTGGGTAGTTTTCACTGGGAACCAGCAATATGTGGAGGAAAATGAGACCTGCTCTCTATGGGCTTTTTAGGGTGGGTCAGTGCACACTATATTCTCACTGCTGTAGAAAAATTTGAAAGCATCTCTGGGAAAGCACCTGTAGACAGAGGAGGTATCATTTTTCTTACATTTTAAAATTTTAAATTATTCCTATCAAAATTTGAATGGCATTTTTTTTTTACAGAAATAGAAAAAAATTCTAAAGTTCATATGAAGCACAAAGGAACTCAAATAGCCAAAACAATCTTGAGAGAGAAGAGCAAAGCTGGAGGCATCACATTTTCTTATCTCAAAGCATATTACAAAGCTACAATAATCAAAAGAGTATGGCACTGGCATAAAAACTGACATATCGATCAAAGGAAGAAAATAGAGATCCCAGAAGTAAACACAAATGTATACAGTCAATGTATCTTTGACAAGGGAGCAAAGACCACACAGCAGGGAAAGGATAGTCAACATCTCTTCAACAAATAGTGTTGGAAAACATTGATGAAATAGAATAATATTGGACCCTTATACTGTATACAAAAATCAATTTGAAATGGATTAAAGATTTAAGTGTAAAACCAGAAGCTCTAAAACAGTGAGAATAAAACATAGGAGAAAAGCTTCACAACACTGGACTTGGCAAGGATTTGTATGTTGAAGTCCTAACACCCAGTATGATGGTATTAGAGGTGGACTGTATGGGAAGTAACTTGGGTTCAATTCCACCATAAAGTTGGGCCCCTCATGATGACATAAGTTCCTTTAAAAGAAGAGACACCAGAGAACTTGCTGTCCCTCTCTGACATATGACAACAAGAACACAGCAAGAAGGTTGCCATCTGCAAGACAGGAAGAGAGCCCTCACAAGGAACTAAATTAGCTAGAATGATCTTGGTCTTCCCAGATGCCAGAACTGTGAGAAACAAACTTTTGTTTAAGCCACCTAGTCTATGGTATTCTGTTATGTCAACCTGAGCAGATTCTCTAACCAAGGAAATGTTTGCTTTGCTGTTTGTTGTTTTCTTTTAAATCTGCATTATCTCTATAAGGAATGCTTTATAATTTTCC